TAGGTGGGACGAGTCATTTGTACTTTATGGTAGTTAACCTGATCCGGCCCGACCCCACTCGTGCTCAAGCTCCAGTAGAAGTGCGACGGGTGTTACTTTACCTAGCACGTTAATGGACAATCAAACAAACACCCAGATTACATCTAACAAATTCATAACACATTCAGGGCCAAATGAAGCCAGGTTGGTGATAAATTAGATACCGCCGATCGCTACACTTACCCGTAGGTCACCGCTAAAAGAGACTTGTTACGACGCTATCTAGAAGTGTGTGAGATTGGACAATTATCATGTAAATAAATCTGTAACCTAACAGCAATAGAATAAGACTCTGTTGGACTATTTTGGAAATGGGAGTAGAAGGTAACAAATCATCGAAGGGTTGTCTCTCTATTCTCTGGCTATCGAGTATCTAAAATACATAATTTTCCTCATATGAAACCCTACTAGATAACTCGCTGGCAATAATGCTACCACCGAAACATACCAAACCGTGCTCTGGACAGATAAGATGAGAATATCACCGGAAACATAAATGTAAACCCAATTCAAAGTATGAGTTATGTAAAATCCGAACAAAAAGATATTTTCCTTGATACGCATCACGTATCAGCATTAACTTCTCCGACCCGAGTCATGTTATGAGTAAATTCAGGTAAACCTAAAATAACCGTAGCGCAACAGATACCATTTCCATCCAAAACATACAATTGCCGTAAGCACCCTAGAAATTCAGAGCCTGTTAGAAATTGTAAAGAATTTCTAGGAGGAAATATCTCGAAGAGCAAGTGTACAATTTCAGACAAGAATTTATTGATAGTTGTGTATAATTTCGAACTCTCGTTTCCACATGAATTAATTATATATGTAATACTCCGTTGACTTAGTTTTACATGTACAAATAAGTCTATCCTTAAATACGAATCCCCAGGGCTTTAGTGATCCCAAACTCCAAGTGATCTAGCAACAACCAGCCATTCAATTATTGCAAAGTAGCATTTCCTAGCCACTGCATTTCAGATACCACTAAACCTCATGTCGCCCAGCTAAGATGAACCATATGCAATCGGGTCAATTAAATTGATCTTGATAATAATACTTAGAAATCCAAACCCTCACATATACTAGGTCTAGATTTCCAACAAAGCTCCCTGAGTATTCAAAATCATTCAAATTGAAGAAACCAAGTTAAACGACCTGTGATGGGCTTTGCTCGGATTAGGACCGGTCACTAGGACCACTCTGTCTTCGAGGTTAGGCTGTGGTAGATCAGCGCTCCGGGAAACACGAATGGGGCGCATATGGAGGTATCAAGGCGGGTAAGTGACAGAAGGGGAGTAGGGTACAAGAGAAGAGGTGAGCCAGAGAGAAAGGATAATTCTCAGATGGCCAAGGGAGGGAGCTAGGACTAGTCTGCACAGATCATATAAGGGATGGGAGACTACGTCGTAGATTGTCTTCCCAAGGAAGAAGTTACTATTTCCTATCGAGTTGTTGTCCATCAAGTGCATCTGGAGTTATTATCCTGTACACAACCAAATACATCACTACTAGTCGGAATGTTAACTTTGAAGTTATCTTTATTGGGATAGGTTACTGGCGTTTGCAGCTGGGATGATTGCCACTTGGTTTTAGTTGAGTGATTAGTCAGCTTATCCCTGGACAAGTGGTTTGTAAAGCTAGATAGAGAGGAGAGAGAGATACACATATACAATTCATACCAACGATCAAGTCCACTGGAGGGCAAGACTGAACACCTGGACGCGGTGTCCTCTACGAACCTGGGAGTGAAATATTCTCCCAGAGCCAAGTTCAGTCAAATTTCGCAATATCAAAGAAGTTGTCCCACGAGGCAAAATTTCAAGTTAATCCACCATGTCAATCTTTCACTCCCAAAGAGTCCGATTCTCAACTAAGCTCCATCAAGTCTACAAGGACGACCTAGTACGTCCTCATCCCAATGATCACACCTCTCGTCGACTTTCTCTGGCCTCAGTTGACCACCAAATACACGCCCACGCCGATATTTATACCCGACGGAGGAAGCAAAGCGTGGCGCACAAATCTGGAAGACTGTTCTTTGGGAAGGACGTGAGAGGGATCAGGATAAGTTTACAAGATGATACAAAGAAACGATATAACGTCCGAGGGCTTGAGATTCCGAATTTTGGCAAAGAGTTTTTACAAATTGAGCTTTGTGCGCACCAAGACTTCGCTTGCGAGAGTGCAGTTGACACTATAAAAATAAGCCAAGGATAGAAGGTGTTGTGGTCCGCCTCCTGGCGGTGTTCTCCGGTATAGTTTGAGTAGCCTGGGCACCTACTCCACTTGGGAAGGAGACATCTCAGATCACATATCGCGCGGAGAAAAGTTGAAAGATGATGGAGGCATGTCTGGATAACTCAGGGGTTTTGAGATGTTCCACTGGGTGGGTATTCACAGATGAGGGTTGACTTGGGGTGAAGAAAAAGCCGCCATAACTTCGGAGTGGTACTTGCAAATGAGATCTGAGGCATGAGTGCTCTTCATTTATGTTGAATCATCTATTCTGTACTTTTCTTTGATATTGTGTCATAGCTAGAAAGCTGCATACGCAATTAAAATCTGATGCAAAAAAAAAAAAAATATCAAGGCCACTACTACAGTAGAGAAGTGATCATACCTATTTTTACCAACACTGCCTTTCCTCTTAGTAGAAAATCTCTTTTTTTTTTTGTTTTTGCATCAGATTTTAATTGCATATGCAGCTATCTAGTTATGACACAATATCAATGAAATTTACAGAAACGATGAATAACGTAAAGGAAGAACACTCATACCTCGGGTTTCATTTGCGGGTACCACTGCAAAGTTATGGCGGCTTTTTCTTCACCCCAAGTCAACCCTCATCTGTGAATACCCACCCAGTGGAACATCTCAAAACCCCTGAGTTATCCAGACATGCCTCCATCATCTTTCAACTTTTCTCCGCGCGATATGTGATCTGAGATGTCTCCTTCCCAAGTGGAGTAGGTGCCCAGGCTACTCAAACTATACCGGAGAACACCGCCAGGAGGCGGACCACAACACCTTCTATCCTTGGCTTATTTTTATAGTGTCAACTGCACTCTCGCAAGCGAAGTCTTGGCGCGCACAAAGCCTAATTCGTAAAACTCCCTGCCAAAATTCGGAATCTCAAGCCCTTGGATGTTATATCCTTCCTTTGTATCATCTTGTAAACTTATCCTGATCCCTCCCACGTCCTTCCCAAAGAACAGTCTTCCAGATTTGTGCGCCACGCTTTGCTTCCTCCGTCGGGTATATATATCGGCGTGGGCGTGTATTTGGTGGTCAACTGAGGCCAGAGAAATTCGACGAGAGGTGTGATCATTGGGATGAGGACGTACTAGGTCGTCCTTGTAGACTTGATGAGACTTAGGCAGGAGTCTAACTCGTTGGGAGCGAAAAAACGACGTGGTGAAGTAATTTGAAATTTTGCCTTGTGGGCCAACTTCTTTGATATAGCGAAATTTGACTTAACTTGGTTCTAGGAGAATATTTCACTCCCAGGTTCGTGGAGGACAACGCGCACAGGTGTTCAATCTTGCCCTCCGTAGACAATCTCAATCACCAGATTAGACCTCGTCAATCTTTTCTATGACCTTTTATTGTGATTATAAGGAGGGTAATTGCATACAAATAGTGCCTTTATCAATTTGTGCTTGACACTATTATGAAGTGGACGATGATGTATGTTCGCTTTATTAGATTCGTTTCCTGATGATTGCTATCTATTTAAAGGAGAATACTACTATTTATACCTAAAGCTCATCTATTTAATTGCTAGTAGAATATTCCATCTTGTGATGTAAGATATTCTATCAAATACTATATAATATTTTACATTCTTTTTCAAACCATCCACATGCAACTGTGATGATGTCACTACACCAACCACATCTTGTATAGATCTCTATATCATCTAATACAGCCTGTCTAATTGGCTGAGTGATTTCATATCATAACACCTTTACCCTGACACAAGCCACACCATAACCGAGTGTGGCGCCATCTAGGCATAGAAAACCCCCAATAACCTCCTTGCGCCCACGCCACACAGCCGCTCATGTCTCCAATAGATAGTCTGAAGCGCTACCATATTACCTATTCCAACCTCTTAAATACACACGAGATCATGTCGGGAACCTAGACGAAATGGAGGGCCCGTAAGTCCACAACACTCAGTGCCTCCATTTCCAACAATAACAACTTGTTCGGTATTGTGAAATTTGACTGAACCTAGCTCTTGCAGAATATTACACTTACAGGCTCGTAGAGGGCACTGCACACAGGTGTTAAGTCATTGCCCCCTGGTAGAAGTGACTTGTAATTTTATTTTAAATCATTAAATGTGTATTCAGCTATCTAGCTATGACACATGACCGGTGCTATTTATACATGTAGCATGACTCTTTTGAAGTTATAGACACTTATACTCTGGAATTCATTCGCAACTACTACTATGGATATGTTCGTTTACACAAATAGTCGACCCTCCTCTGCAAGCACCTACCGAAGGGAAATTCAAAACTTTTGATTATCGAAGCATGCCTTCGTCATCTATGTTTACCAGTGCCGCGAGAAGTGTGGCTGTGTTTTGCCGGATTGAACCAGCGATCTACTGTCTCAGGTGGGGTATGTGTCCAAGCTATCCAGACCTTGCTTGGGAGACTGACCCAAATGATGTACCATCGCACCATCCAACCATAACAGTGTTTACAGTATCGCCTGCACTCCTACCTAGCTGTCATGTAGTGGTAGACTTGCATACTTATATTGAAGTACTTGGAATTACTTTTCTTTTTTATACTCACATTTTGTTTTATGACTTTCAGTGTCTACGGTGGCTCATTTCAATTTGACTCTGAGCTTCCCTATTTTATTCCTTCTTGTTCTATGCTATTTCACTCTAGTCTGCTGTGATTGTATTATCTCATTGTGCGTCTTTACAATTCAAACTTTTAAGCTGCAGATGCTACATCACCGAACTCGACAGAATGAAGCTTTACAGCCGGCAAATTTGTTGGCTCGCAGTTAAACTCCACATCGTTAGCCACAGCCTTTACCCAAAGAACTTCTTTTGTCTTCGTAAATCCTATAGTGACTCTGACCGAAATTGAGTCTCGACTCAAGCATTAGCAGGAAAATTTTCTTTCAAGAATAAAATTGCAAACCTGATTGGTAATTTGCAGTAATTGTTAAAGATCCTACGCCATATTGTTCTCTGGGCCCGTATTCTATACCAAGATTTTGTCCCAGACGATTATATTCTTTTGCAACTGCACGATCTATGTATTGCGCACCAAGAACCTTATTGTGACATTGATAGTTTGAAGTAGCAAGTACAGGCGTCAAACAGTTCAAAATAGCTGCCAATGTAACAAGACTGAAGATCTTCATACTGCTGTTGTCGTGTATAACAAATTTTTCTTGTATTTTTTTGGGATGACTTGATTTATTGCTAAATTTAATCTCTCGGTTTAATTGAGGTTTAAAAAGTGAGGAATTGTAGGAGCCGTGCGGGAGTCTCAAGTATTTTCTTATGGATGGTATTGCAAGCTGCTGTAAAGATTATGAGCTGAAGAAAGACTTTGAAGTGGGATTGGTCCCTCTTAGACACAAAGGGTGATGGTTGATTCTTAAGTTTAAAATGATCATACCACACGTCCCCTTGTCAATTCCTACCAATACATCCGTAATCTAGCGTAAAGTTATTTAGGCCATAGACTGTAAAATGAAAGCTCTTGTTCGAAGTGAAGTGTAGAAAGCTAGACAGGGACATGTATTAAGAGATTGTATGATTGCACGATAGTTTTATTTTCATGGCTAGGACCAGGGCAAAGCTCCGGCATAAACCAAGTCATCAAGATATTGAAGGAGTCATTCAATCTAGGGCAGACGAACATGGAGCGATCCATACAGCCCACATCCTCATGGATGGACCCACACATATCGTCTCAAGCTTGGAAAGGCATAGGAGCTAGTCGGATTGTCAACATGGAATCCGAGCAGCGATTCAGGGAGCATCATCCCACATCTTATTCCTTCAACTTTCATGATTTAAACATTTGACATGAACCTAGACTATTGATGTACCAAGTTCCTCAGATTTCAATTCGTTTCCAGCCTGGGATTCTATTTTGTATTAAGATATAGAGGGTCTTATACAAATCAAGGAAGTATTATGCGGAGGATTGACAAGCTCTAATTTGGTGGATAAGAGTGTCAACAAGTAGGAGTGAAATTCCTCCTGGGATCCTGAAATGTTGTGTTATCCATGTAACTTACCATGGCACATGCTTTAGGTCGCGTCATGGTAGATGCACGTGACTGAGGAACTAAATCGTGGGTTGTTTAGTGTGCAATGCATGTGTGGGTATACTGGACCAAACTATAACTCGATAGAATAGAGATAATGGAATCAGCGAGAGACTTATGGACTGAAGGAGAACGAGCTGATCATTCCTCGAAGGAGAGAAATGATATCACAAGGGAATGTTCTAGCACTAGGCTGTGAACAACACAGTAAGTCTGGGGCAAGGTATAAGGAGGTCTCAACCTCCATCCATTCATCGTAACTAAGTTTCCTTTATACGAGAATATAGAGTCAAGTCTTACATATCACGAGAACACACGCGGCAGTGATTATAGAGACCTACTAAGAGCATAACTTTCCCAATAGTATACATCGTCCTGCTCCTATATAGCCTAGTTAATATAACAAGAAAGTACCTCACGACGGACGCGTTTGCGTTCTACACGATTACGAAGAATCAGGTAACCCAGTCTTATTAGAGTTAGATATATAGTTAAAGCTGTGAAGTATGATAGATCTAGTAGTTGGTGTTGTAAAGGTAAAATTTCACGGAGGATTTATTAGCAGAAGGTCTAGCAGTGATTATCCATGAACCAATGTAAACCGCTAATTATTTGATATACAGAGCTAAGAAGATTTAGGAGCTAGAAAATATTGTAATTAGGGGAGTAACATGACCGTATTAAAATTAACTATCTACATTAGAATAATGTGCACATACGGCATGAGATATGATCTAGATAATTACTCATTAGTATGATATAATATTTCCGAAAAGAATCCTAACTGAATCTATTGGCGCTGGAATCTCCCACAACCTTCTTTTCTCGGTTAGACAAGGAGATATGTTGGAACATCCACTAGTGTGCATAAAACCCCTTATTGATGCATATAGAGGAAGGTCCTATCACGTAGATTATATAAGCAATTCATACAACAAGATATTTAAGCAATCTTCACATTATTCACACACTTGATAATCCCAGGGAATATCCTCAAATTCGTCCCTTAATCCAAGTCATAAGAGTATAACTCACAAACTTCACTTCACCCAAAGCCACAGTTACCTCCTTCCATACCTTCATCCTAACAGTACTTCATTCCAGCTCAGCATAGCCTTTCCATAGAAAATGCTACCTATACACACATCTGATATAGCAGACTCTCGCCTTATTTACCCAAAACAGTACCACGGATTAATTCTAGTCTCCTCCATCCGGTAGTATAATCTAGAAACACTTTCCACACAGTGCTCCATTGATCATCTACTCATCTTGGATTCGCCTGGAGTGTTCTCCCATCACTCTCGGTGATCATTATCCTTGTGTATTGTAATCCTGGCCATCACCAGCACAACACCTTGCTGCCATAAGGCGGTGATGCGACCACCTCGGAAGTGCTAGCTCCGGTGGACGTTTTCGTTTCACCTGGAGATTCAATTCTTCGTAGCGGCTCGGTCGGTGATCTAACCACCAGGATTCCACTGCTTCTTCAAATCTTTGCCTGACAAGCCGAGTGAGGGCTGCGAAAGTGTATTTAGGTCTGTCCCTCATTTCTAAGGGAGATGTGTCTGTTTCATCAGGTAAGTTGCTGAGTGTTAAAGGCTACTCCTATCTCCTAGTGACTGTCGCACAGACACTTATCATTGTTACTTCATTAGCCATGCTATCTAAAGAAATGTCCAACTTGGCCATACAAATATAGGGTTGCAACAAATATGGAAACAGCATATTATTGCTGCAAGTCTCATATAGAATCATGGGCCGACACGACCCAGATTCGCTATGACGAGCCTACTCGGAATATCAAGGATATGGTGTAGTAGAACAGATAGTGAGGTTAGCGCATTGGGAGTTAGGACACCTTAAGTAGCCTCCCCTCGGTAGACAGTTCCTAGATGTATGTAGAAAATAGACAGTAATCGGCCACCATTTCTTTACTACATTGTTTTGTTGATCGCTCATCACACCGAGGGCTTCCTTGGCCAGTCTGTCTATATCTTCGTTCCCCTTGATGCCGGCGTGTGCTGGTATCCATCGAATCTCAACTGATCTGGCTTGTCGTACCAGTCTTGTGAATATTTCCACTGCAGCCTGGGAAATTTACATTTGGCCGATTATTTGAGCTGTCATGGCCGCTGTGTTGTCGAGCAGCGCCTTTATCGGGCAGTCGCCTGCTTTTACAATGGCTCCTTCTAAGGCTTTTTGGGCCTCAAAGATTTCGGCATCGTAAACCTCCGCCCCTGGCAATGGACCAAAGTCACTCTCAAACACCTAGCGTCCTTATTATAAGGCATACCCCATCCAGATATAGCTGGTACACATGATGAGCCGTCTGAATAAGCGCAAACTGTCTCGGCAATAGTCTTGCTATCCATTGCTTAGCGTAAGCTGCTTCGTCCTGAAAGTCCCGGCCAGTCATTTTTATGATGGACCTGGCTTTTGGGAAGTATAGGTTGCCGGGTCCTTCGGCCATCAGCACATTTTTGGCGCTGATCTGAAGTCGCGTGAGGTACTGTTCTGGGAACTTGACTGACTGGTTCTCCTGACCTATGCGGAGACTGAAGCGGCTTATTGTATCCTTTGGGCCCTTCCCAGACCTGGATACTGACGAATGTCACGCGTCCAACCTTTGAATCTGTGCGGCCGCTAGCATTTTTCTCTGCTGTAAGATAACGGCAGACGGGGGGTTGCCCGACTCTCTGTGTAGCACTACTATTGGTGTAGCTGAGGTTTCCGAGCGCGCGTTGTATACTTAGTAAACGGTGTGGTGGGAGTAAGAATGAAATGGTATCACGTGGTGTCTCGTGGCTCCTAACTACAACGGATCTTGTGTGAAGCCTGAGACTAATACGCGAATTCTATATCCTTCAAGTATAGGATGTCTTTGTGTCTATATACATTGATTCCTCCTTACTCCTCACACTAGTAGATCTATTGCTATGGTCGCAGGCTGTGACAGTGCGATTTGCTATGCGTGAGGTCATAGGATAATTACGATTACGTGTGTGCCGTGTTTCCTACATCTGGCCAACTCGTGCTGTGTAGATCTATCTGTGATCCACATAGCTCGCCACACCAATAGCGCCGCTCGAACTGCCTTCAGGATTTATTTTTATTTTTTTATTCACAGTGTATTCAGCTATCTAGCTAAGACACATTATTTACATAATTTAATTCCCAAAAACTCCTTTCTGAAATACAATCTTCATAATACTTTTTAAATTCCCAATTTAGTTATCCTAGTTCAACTCCCTTTATGTGCCACCATGCACTTGGATGTGTCCAAATATTTAAGAAGGGTTTTTTTCCCTTTTTTATACATAGCACCGGTCACGTGTCATAGCTAGATGGCCTTCAGGATTGTGCCGTCAAGGAGATGGGCGTGCCAGCCTTTTTGTCCCGCTGAGTTGCGACTCGGGTGAGAGCTGGCCACCACGCTTCTGCTCCATATGACGCTCTACTGAGGACACAAACCTGCATTGATTTAGATACTAGTAAAGATACTTCGCACTTTATTGTGTGCTAGAAGATAGAAATATGTACAGACAAAAGATGGTTGTTAGCTGTTGACTCAATATACTGCGGACCACACCTAAATTACTCTCCCATGACCCTAGCAGGTTCACAACATACTCATCCTACCAATCAGAGCGCCATGTCACAGACCGGCTTTCCCACGAGGAAAACGGCCTGCTTGCTACTACCATTGTGCCATAAACTAACAAAGAGATGCTGCGTTTAGTCTGGTCAACAAAGTCAGGAACTTCCCTAGTAACATAGTCAATGCGTTGCGATGATTACAATGTTTTGATAGCAACAGTTACTAATCAACATAGCAATTAGTTGCTGTGTTATAGCTGTAGTCTATCATACCCCTGATTGTAATAGCCGCTCCTGAGTACTTCAGGTCTAGGGCTGAGTTGGATCTGTAGCTTTTTGTCTTGTAATTATTCTAGACTTTAGATTGATCCGATCATCATAAGCTTTTCCTAATACCCCGACTCCGACCCGTTCCGACCCGTGTCCTCCGAACTAAGCCGGCGATCCTGACACGCGGCTATTCCTGTTTCTTCAGCAATCTACGATAATATCCTTATGATGCACAATAGCATGACGTTTATGCAGGTTTGCACAAACCATTCTGTGCTATTCCTAGACTATTGCATTGGGGTTCAGCTCATTGGCAAGATGTAGCCCATCAAAATGGACGTGGAACCTTATAAATACGAGAATTGGGGCATTGAAGAACGTAATAGAGTTGTCTCATGTGATCGGGGCGGATGACAAGGGACCACAGAGACGTATGTCAAGCCCAAAATCTCTTATTGTTGATTTGGAAGGGATTTGTGAGTTCTTTTGATGGGTAATCGCTTTCTCCATCTGGCACGCTTCTTTACCATCACCTGACCCTTGCACATTTGTGCTGAAATTATTACGAACTCCATTCTGACTCATGTCTGCCACATTTGGAACATCTCATTTTGCGTTTATAGAATTCATAATGACCAGATCGAGAAGGTCCTGAAGATTCGCTAGGCTAGACTGTCGCTGGCTCACAATGAAACCATTCCCTGTTAGCAAAAGCTTTTACCCAAAGAATTTCCCTTTCAAATGTACCTCCCACTTTGACTATGAATTTTATAGTTTCTGGACAAAAGCATTAGTAGGAAAGAATGTATTTTTTAGAATAAGATTGCAAACCAGTATCTTCCTGATGTTCGTGTTCATAAGTTCCTACAGTAAAAAGTTCACGGGGTTCGTAAGTACGACTGTTAGCTTGAAATTTTGGTCTGTGGGCCTCATCATAAGCGTTTTGTATGCGACTCCCAGGAATACGCGCTGGACCACAATCATAATCCGAAGCGGCAAGTACAGGCGTCAGATGATTTAAAATAGCGGCGAATGAAATAAGACTGAAGATTTTCATGTTGCAGCTGTTTTATGTGACAATTATTGCTTATACTTTGGTGGAGTGACTGGATTTTTTGGTAATTTTGATCTTGCAGATTAATCGGCTTCCCAGAAGTCAGGAATTGTAGGAGCTTAATGAGAGTATGAAGTAGTCTTCTTCGAATGATATGGGAAGCTCTTGATCTGGAAACAGACTATGAAGTTGGAATTTTCACTCTTATACACATGGCATGATGCTTAGCTCCGATACTGAAAAGGAGCTTACCACTCATCACCTAGTCGGTACTTGCGCATCCATAATCGGCTGTTAGGTAATTCGGGCCGCAGACTATGAAATAAAAAGTCTTGTTCCAAGGGAAGTGTACAAAGCTAGACTGGGACATGCATTGACAGATGTTATGAAGGTTAGATAGTTTTGTTTTCATTGGCAGGACCAGGCAAAGTCACCTTGATATTGAAGGAGTCGTCTCATCTCGGCCAGAGGAATGTGGAGCCATCCAAACTGCCTGCGCCTTGGTGGACGGGATCCACATATCTCGCTCCAGTCTTGAAAAGGCAGAGGAACTAAACAGATTAACAATACAGTGCGGACTCGTTACAATGATATTCGATATGAAGCTATTCACCTTTTAACAATGTCTTCTTCGCGCACGCAATACTTTCTCATCGTAAATATAACAAATCACCAATATTTGGTAAACCAATGTCGTCGTCGCCATTCTATGGTTATGTCCAATAACTGCAACATATTCATATAACCACTATCATCGGCTGGAGCCTGATTTTATTTAGTCCTGTGCCTTAAATCAAGGCATAGATTGCTGTTCCCTAGTTTCATTTCAAGTATGTCATGCACTTCTCCACACGACCCATTAGGCCTGGTAGAAGTCGGGATCCACCCCATGCAAATACATTCTTTATTGGTGACTAAAATTATAGACACAACGACGATAATATTGAGGTGGAGGAGGAGGTGTTGGAGATCTAGACTTAGAACGAAGGTTTAGATTTCCAAGTATGATCATCAAGTTCAATTGAGTTGATTCGATTCAGTATGATTAAGCTCATTTAGGCGAAATAAGGTTTAGTGGCATCTGGAATGCAGTGGCTAGGAAATGATAACTTGCCATAATTGAGTGGCTGGTTGTGGCCAGATCACTGGGAGTTCGGGGATCGGTACTTAAGGATAGACTCAACTAATCATGTATATCCAAGTTAGCGAATTATTGCACATTATTAATTCATATTTTTGATTTGTGTTCATTATCCTGATTTGGCGCCCTATGGGCCCATGCAGGTGGTCATGAACCCATCTACATATTTATGTAGGAGGAAACCTCTTGGTGAAAACCTCCCAAGTTTTCTGATTTAGTTCTCATACTTTGCAATATATCCTTCAGGAAGTACATTTACACTGTAACGCCATCGATGTGTACCAATCACGTCCCTTCTTTCGACCCCAGCCTTCTACATTTTCCGTCTCGTACCCTGAGAAGCATTTCGACTGCATTTGTCATGCAGAATTGTTCTATCCAACTATGATTAAGGATCCATCGTGTGATTCTTCTCATATTGTTAGGATTGTTTGTCATTGCTTCAGAGGAGCGATTTCGGGCTTGTCTCCAGATTTCTCCTCTGCCAAGTGACCACTTAGGGCAGGACATGATCACGTGCTTGGAATTTTGTGATTGGTAGCCACAAGGACATCATGAATCGTAGACTCCCGGAAGCTTATTTTAGTACGTCCACAATGGCGGCATTGGTAGAACTTTGCTGCTGCCCAAGTTTTAGGATATGCTGAAGCAAATCTTTTAGGCTGTCGAGTTCGCTTTGTGGCGGACCAAGATTTCGCCCATTCCAGGTACGCTGCAACACTTACCACTTCTTTTTGCAGGTCCTTGGTTTCTCCTCTCCGCAAATCTCTTTCCAGTGTGCAAGGTCTGCTCTTCAATCACGTGCTCTAATATCTTCTCTTCCTCTTCTGGGAACTTGTAAATAAATCATAAAGTCAAATAGCAAAAATTCACATATGTTATGCAGACGATCACTATACCGATGAAGTTTATTTTATTTTTTATTCATTTTGTTGTCCTGTCTGAGTCTATGACTATGTAGGACATGCAGGTCCTCTCTGCCTACAGGCCAAGGATACCTATACCAGTAGTATATTCCCTCCTATGCCTCCCATACAGCTCCCCTCAAACAGTACCACCCCTCACAAGTACTCATTCGATCATACACTTAGAGGAGCCCTTTGCCCTTTATTATCTCCCCTCTCCAGCCAACAAAACGATGACCATTTGCGTGTGTATGGCAGCCGGGAAAAATCGCGAAAACCACTGGGTGCGGGGCTCTTCTAATACCGACATTAGGACTAAATCCGAAGACATAGTGATCCTTCTGATGCGTTCGGAGAGGCCAGCCAGCTGGGCGCCGCAGACCTGTGGGTACCTCGGGAAATTCACCCTCTGCCTTTCTAGCCTCCTTCCAACTCCATCCCGAAGGTCGTACTGAAATGTCAGAAAAGTCTTGACAGAGCATGATTGCTGTATGGTAGGTAAGCCTAACTTCCTATGTGCCGTTGACTCATCGACAAAAGAGGTCCTCCTGGCTAATTAGCCGAAATCTTAGTCTTGGCGCCCACAAAAAATTCAAAGTTGAAAACTCGAGAATGTCAGTCCGAGCACAATCTTCAGAGACCTGTTCCCCTCTCGCTACGCATCTGAGCCGCCTGTCCTTCCTCAAGATGTATAGCCCCATTAGAGCAGCAGTCCCCCATAAACCAAGACCCGAGCTTTGTATATTATGACTTAATTTCCTCCTTGCGAGCATACGTAGCGTCGTAAATATATATTGAGAGATGGCTGGAAATTAATGGGGCAAGCTCCTGTATGCAATTGGAGCAACTTCTTTATTGGTCATCGAGGCGAGATGATACGTGGTTAGAGAGAGAGTGAGGACTCAGATCAGTGTGGTAAGAGAGGCATTGTCGAGTAGTCGTTGAATGGAGATATGTTTGAGGTTGATTTCGACTTCGATTCGGATGCGGTTCTTCTTGGCTATCCCAGATATGCAGAGCATACTGGGCGATTACACCGGCACCACTGGAGAGTGAAGAATTCGTCATTGCCGGCTACATGACTCAGTAGGCCTGGTAGAAAATCTGACTTGCAGAGATTTCACGACTGCACAACTCAACGAAATCAACCATCTACACCCTAGATACGAAACGCAGACAGGCTTCAACCTATCTGATGTTCGTATCATAAAAACCGACACCTTCAACATCTTATATTTTATTTCTCTGGGAAATAATTCCTGGCCAAACTCATCTCGCAGCCCTCTCAAGAATCATCTCACCACCTACCGAAGCAATCCCATACCTCCAAAAGCCAAATCGCCATCAAAGAAGCAAGAAGATGTCCGATCCTCCACAACTGCCAGTCACTGTGTAGGTACGGTCAAAATACCCGCCTTAAATGCGTCATCACCTCTGCTAAGGGCAGCAATAACTCGACCTGGGACAAATCGCCACCGACGAAATACGTACGACATTTCTCCGGCGCATCAACCAGAGCGTTCGACAAAGGCTGGGGCACCGGTGCCTCGGTCTTGAGCTCTCAGTCGGGGTTTCGACTTTCACGACTAGGGGTACGGCAGCGATGGGGCAAGGCCGGAGGGGTGGACATTCTACAAAGTTTCTGGGACGACGAGACCGGCTGAAGGACGGAGGGATGCTTTATGAAGGGACTAAAAGGGGATACAAACTGAGGAGGCCTTGGTGAGTGACTGGATGAGGCCTCCAGTGAAGAAAACGACCCCTGGATGAGATGAGGAGATGCCGAGTTGAGCCAAAGCTGGGAATGAATCGAAGGGAAAAGTTACAGATCGCGAAGGTGTCAAGGGCTCGGGCGCGTGGTGGCCGAGACTGAGGAGGAATTTGCGCTTCGGCGCGTCATAAGAGGGTTCTCTGGACGGTTGAGCTTGACACGATTCAACACATGGGTGAAGTCTGAGGTGGTCCAGTCATTCAGGTGGGACGAGGTAGATGTACTTAATGTTAGTTAACCTGATCCAGCCCGGCCCCACCCGTGCTTAAGCTGCAGCAGGAGTGCAGCGGTTGTCACTATACCTAGCACGTAAATGAACAAAACAAAAAATAAAAACAAATATCACTCGTGAGTGATCTGAGCCTCACATACAAATTCTTTTTACAATTACATTTCGAAGATGGAGATGATGCCGGATTAAGATAGACGGAACGCTCGATTTTAATTGGAGGAGATCCAATGACCTATTTGAAGGGTTAAATGAAAGATGCCTCCAACAGCAGGTGGAGCTACAAACAAGGCAAGAGATGTCAGATAGCTGGTTTGCGTAACATCTGAGAAAGAAGAATATCACGTTTGATGTCCGAAGAAGTGTGAAGATTTCATCAAGTGGACCAAGTATGTAGATATGTTGGAAAATGCTGCTTTGTCAGCCGGGTGATTCAGTTAAACCCCCTCACCCTCTATATTTGTCATGTAGAGACATGATTCATTCATGAGTTGATATTGTTCAGACGATCATGACTATATCACAACGTCATGTACAGACACGATTCATCGTTTGTACCTGTTGTATCAACCATGACCACGTCTCAGTGATATGAGAAACATCATTGACTAGTTACTAGAAAACTAATCAAGATCCTAAACACACAACTGAGACTAGGAGAATTTTACTGAGTAAGTAATTATTCTGATGAATCTAGATCTGGAGGAACATAATCTGGTTGCTTGGCTCGAGGTATATGAGCCTGAGCATATCATGTATTATAAACTATATAGAAATCTATCTCAATCACAATCATCATCTTAATTCATGTCACCATCAATAGCTGCAAAGGACAGTTTAACCATTTCCTTATAATATTTAGCACACACACATTTTCATATATCTTGCTGCACCACTACACATATTCTCTACATACCTTATCTTACCCTCTATCTATTCTCGCCACTGTGACTCCAC